TGAGGGAGGATGGACAGTTTGTAAAGCACTGTGTAAAACTAAGGTGGTGGCAAGATTTCTGAGGCATTTACTGCTCCTGCTGTGTGGATACACCACTCCTGCCAGAAGGAGGGGCCAGCAAACGGAGCTCACAAATAACACAGCTCTCTTCTCTTCTCCCCCACCTTTTTTTTTTCCAATAGGTTGGTACAATCGACTTTTTATCAACTTCGCACTCCGCAGACATATTTTCTTTTTTGTGCTACAATCCTATTTCCCAGCCATGCTGATGGTGATGCTGTCTTGGGTTTCCTTTTGGATTGATAGAAGAGCTGTTCCTGCCAGGGTGTCATTAGGTAAATTCTGTATATTCTTTGGGAAGTATAGAATTGAGAGGGGAGGGTTTGGAGTTACCTTAGCTTATTTACACAGGACATGAGCAAAAAGATCAGATAATTGCCTGAACAACACTATTATTACCTCTGTTGTCATTACCTGTAGTCAGTCTCTGCATTTGGAAAGGGGATGTTTGTTCAGACTGGCTTTGCTATTTTTGGAAACAGCTAATGCACCACAAAAGCAAAAAGGGATGATTCTGCAGATTTCCTGATAGAATTTGACTTAATTGCAAAACCTGGGTATTCCTTCCCTCTTCCCAGTAAAGCAACAGGTAGGAACAGGCAGTCAGATCCCTCCCCAAATCCATGGATTTGGATCCATGGATTAGGTGAAGCCAAATCTATGCAAAAGCTCTGCAGCTCTTCTTTTTCTCAAGAAACATTCATTATCTTCCTACCAACTTGGAAACAGTTTACCTGTGTGGCAAAACCTTTCATTGTGGGACACCTTAGAAATGTTTGCTTTGTATGTTGTCAAATTTCTTAGACAAGAGAAAAAAGCCTCATTTTTCTCTATATCAGTCTAGAAAAAAATAGAACTGTAGCCACTCAGGTCCCTTTCTATTGGTACAGTCTAAAGCTATTAATACATGAGATATAAATCTACTTGTTAATCTGTAAACAAATCATGGTACCTCCTACCTACTTTTATTAATGCATCTATGAATTCCTTTTATTTAGAAGAAATTTAACTCCGTCTTTAAAAAAAACTTTTTAATTCTCAGTAGGCAATTTTTAATGTTGTCAAGATGGTTTTGCTGATCATGTTCTTTATGTATGGATTTCTGCAGAAGGTTATGCATCAGGAGTTCCATGAATAAAGCACATTTCATTAGCATAATCATACATAATTTATAGGAAACCTTAACTACAAAGTTTAATAAGCCTAGCTCCTTAGCCTAGAGTATATATATATATTAAATGAATTGATTTCCTCTTATATGGTGTATTTCAAACTCCATCCTTCAACCTAAAGAAGCTGCAGAGAGGTAGGGGGAAAACTCTTGTATATTCCAGGACTTGAACAGGTGTAGAACTGGAGAAGGGCTGCAGAGACTCAGCTGACAGTGCTGTCTCACAGATATCAAGATGTTTTCACTTCTAGAGTTACACTGATTTCTTTAAAAGCAGAGCCTGAGTTGGGTGTTGTTTTTTTTTTCTCTGAGCTGGAGCAAACCAAAATGAAATGAATATCTGATGTAAGAGCAGAGATTGAAAAGATGAGGGTGAAATTCTGGTCATAATGAGGCAAACAATATTTTTTTCTTAGTTTCAGTCCCGTAGCATTTTTATGCTAGATTGTTTTTAGAGAGCCCTGGAGTTATGACACAGACATACAGGCTGATACATGTTCTCAATAAATACAATTTGAGAAAGAGTTGTGAGGGAAAATTATTATTATTATTTAGCGGTTTTCCTGGACAAGAAAATATGTGGTGGCAACCTTGGCTCTGGGAAGTGAAGGACGACCACAAACCTTTCACCTGTGTGTGGCAGTGCCCAAAGCTGCCACAGAAATGTGTTCCTTATGCTGCTCAGTGACCATTCTGAGCAGAGAGATGATTTAGTGCTCTCAGCATCGTGTGTGATGGGTCCTTCACGGTTCACTCCACTTCTCAGAGCCTGTGTGAGGAAGTTAAAGGGGGTGTCAATCACATGGCCTCACAAAGCTGTGCTGCCCAAGCAGTGGTGATGAGCTGAACAGAACCAGCTGGCCAGAACTGTGATAACCTCTCTTTTCACTCTGGCAGGTATAACTACAGTGCTGACAATGTCGACCATCATGACAGGAGTAAGTGCCTCAATGCCTCAAGTGTCTTACATAAAGGCTGTGGATGTGTATTTATGGATCAGCTTCCTTTTTGTCTTCCTGTCAGTCATCGAGTACGCAGCAGTGAACTATCTCACCACAATTGAAGAGAGAAAACAACTCAAAAAAAGGGGCAAGGTACAACCCTCTGGGTTTTTTTTATCTTCTGAAAGCATCATGGAAGCCACAGAGTAGTCCTTATACACCACTGTGATAACAGAACAGTAACAATCTCTGTCTCCACTCTATATCTCACCTTTTTTTTCACTTGGGTGAAGGGAGACCAAGTGTCCTCCTCTCTGAGATCCTGAGAGGTTTGTGTATCTCTCCCTTTTCTTGTGGCAGAGGTTAGGGATATTTTTTTGCCCCCTTTTTTCCCCCCTCAGAGGAATATAACCTTCCTTCTATTTTCAAATACTTATCAATCAATCTTCTGTCTCTGAAATAGACCTCAGCATACCCTCATACGATATTCCTCCCTGTTTCCTGTTTCTTTTTTGTCCCAAGACCAGATGAATGACAAGGTCATTTTTATAAGTGTGCCTGAAGCAGAAATAGTCATAAGTTAAACATCTGCTTTCTGTGAAGCTCTCACTTAAAACCTTTGCTTGAAGAATATCCCCTCTGTAAACTCACTTGCTGGAATATCATGAGGGGAAGAACACAGAAAGGATGCATATGTTGCTCACATGATAGGATAATCCCATCAAAAACCTACTGCCAGAAATGTTTGCAGTCATTTCCCACAACTCCAGCAACACAGACCTACAGGAGAGAGTTTGAGTCTTCTATTTCAGAAGCTGAGGCACAAATTGCCAGCCAGCAGCTGGCAGTAATCAGGCAGACAAGTGTGTTTTATAACATTTGATGACATTTCCTTGCTCATGTCCTGCTCAAGGGGGCAAGCCCCACAGAGAGCCATACTGTGGGAAAGCCCTGTTCTCCACATGCTCTCCACAGAGAGAACAACAGTGAGGGGAAAGCTTTCTTAATCTTCTGTTTTGCTCATTTATGATTTGCCAAAATGGCTCCTGCTAGACACAGAGTAACTCTGCTTTGTTGCCAGGCTTCGGGAATGTACAGCATGGATGCAGTGCAAGCAATGGCTTTCGACGGCTGCTTCCACGACACGGATGTGGACATGGATCTGACTCCCTTCCCAGACCCCTGTGAGGAGAATGAGACCAGGGCAAGTCAAACCAACATCTCCAATGCAGACACACCTCGCTTGAAGAGGAAGAGGTCTCTGAAGGGAAACGTGGGCAGGATTATTTTACAGAACAATCATGTTATTGACACATATTCCAGGATTATATTTCCCAGTGTATATATTGTGTTCAACTTTTTTTACTGGGGTTTGTACATATGAACTAAAATGCTTATAAACTAGAACTTACTGTGTGTATGAGGGCTGCATCATACTTCAAAAATAATGCAACAGCAGTAGAGGAAAAGGTTATGATTTTCCAAAAGAGACTTCTACATCAAACCTGGGCTGGTTTGGTCAGCAGCAAAACTCCTCATGAAAAACTCTCACGTGTCTGGGTTTCTTTTCCAACTGGACTATGCAGAGCTTCACTGGGGTGATCCATCCCATGCACAGGGGATGTGCTGCAGTAGCACAGGAGCTCACTAAGGGAGCCCTTTGTCAGGCCCCTGAACAGACAGCAGCTCCCACCTGAGGTATTGCCCTGCACTCCAGCCCTTCCTCTCGAATCAGCCTCTCTGTTCTTCACCTGTGCTCCATTTTGGTCGGCAATCGGCACCAACCACTTTGGGATAGCTCCTGTCCTTGTTTCACTTCCTGATTTCAGTTTGCCAGGGCAACCTGTGTGCACCTCAGCAGCCTCTGCCCTGGGATGGGAACCAGGGGGAAAATGATGGCTCACCAGTGCAGTAGGGACCAGCAGGAAGCAGAAGGCCAGGCTGATGGGGCTTTGTAGATCATGCATCAACAGCACTTCAAGAAAACCCTTCACCCTTGTCAGCTGTCCATGAATCTCCATGGGACCTCTGTTTTGAAGAATCTGCCTCACCAGTCCCTGAGGCAGCACAGGAACAACATCCCAGACCCCGTGCACTTGCAGCCACTTCCCTGGTGGGTGAGCAGCATCCCCAGCACAAGCTGTGTCCTTCACATGTCACCTCTGCCCCACCTCGACCTGCTGTAATCCCCTGCTTCCTGCAGAACCCTTTGGTTTAGAAACACAGGTTTGGAGACACAGGTTTTAGACAACTTTGTCAAGAGAACAAAGAAACCACGCCTTCAGTTCTTCTGTTTATGTTGCACGTGAACTTGGGGTTTTGCCTCCCTCCCTCTCCCTTTGGCTTTTGAGATTGAATGTTCCAGTGAGGAGAAGCTGCCTCTGCCCCTTACAGCAGTGATCCCCAGCACAGTTCCAGGAAAATAAAGGAAACAGCTGTGCCAAAACAGAGAGACATACAGGAAACCTGTCAGTCTCAGATGAATCCTTCATGGAAATATCCTTAGGTTCAGGCTAAGGAGGCTGAATTAAGGATGTTCAGGGATAAACACAGAAAGTTTTCACAGCTCCAGGAAAAGAATCAAGATTACTTTTGTAACTTTCCCAAATAAGGAGCATTTCCCACTAAATTCCTTGGGTCCATCTGTCATTTAATGAGCTGAATTTATATTTACAAAGTCAGTTCAAAATTATCATTTGTGGTGGAAAAAAGTGTCACAAGGTAAATGCTTGATCACTGCTTGGTCAAGTTCATTGGTCAAGAAAGTGGGAATAAAATTGGAAGCCTAAATCACTCTCTGGTTTCTTCATTTTATTTATTTTATTTATTTACTTTTTTTTTTTTCTTATTTAATTTACTTATTTTCTTGCTCTCATCTTGTTTGTTCAGAGCATGGTGACGTCTCAACTTTTTCAAAGAGCTTTATTGTCAGGCTTCCAGTTCGAGAGCTGGAGGAGCGGTGACACTGTGCGTGCTGAGTGACTGAAATCTCACCGAGTGAGTGGCACGGAGCGCTGCCAAACAAATGTGTCAGAGCTGAGACAGCTTTGATACTTTTCCAGGAAATCCTGTCATGGAAAGCAGAACCATACCAGGAATGACAGTGCTGGGAATGCAAAGCGAAAGGACACACAGGCTTTGGTAACAGTAACAGCACGCCAGACCTCAAGCCGAGCAGATGTATAGTGTATATAAATTGTATAATTTATTGTATATAAAAACACACCATCACAGCCTTGTTCCTGCACTGCCAGTATGGGGCATCCTGCACAGATGTTCCAGATTACCCAAGAAGAACCCATCTAGTTGCTCCAGATGTGTAATGTGTCTTCCAGACTTTTCCCATGAACTAATGTAACATCATTTTCACATTTTTTTTTATTAATCTGCCCTACAAGAAGTATTTGTTGTGTAGCCAACAGTGAAGCCTCAGCCTCCAACAGAAAAACCACTCCATTTCCCTTTCCTCCCCTCTTTCAGACTGAAGCCATTCCCCCTTGTCCTCTCACTACATGCTCTTGTAAATGATGATACTTAACTGCATGCTTTTGCAGAAAAGCTTATAATTTTTTATCTTCTTAATGGAGTGACAGGGATGATATCAGGATATATAATGCTTAAAAAAAATCTATTGCTTGTACAAATAGTAAAAGATAACAATCAGTATTTCAACGAATGATTTCTTGTCTAGAGGGTGCTAGAGGGCTGGCTAAGCTCCCCATACCCTCTGAAGTGTGTGTTAACTTCCTGACAGGTATGGTAATAAATACTTTCAGACAATTTGTCTCTGCAGATCAGCACGGAAGTCTTTAAAAAGGTATTCACGAGAATTCCCCGTTCCTGCCGGTTTTGCAGCCAGTCCCAAGCGTGGGTTTTATATGCCACAACATTTACTGCGAGTTAAAGCACCGCAGGCATTACGTAAATACATACTTGTGTGAGTGTTCATCCTGGTGGCACTCAGGCAGTGACGCTGAGGGCACTTTGTGGATTTTTGGAGCAGAAATGACAGCTTGTCATGATTTCTCTGACCGGCCGAGGTGCAGGATGTGGCCTCGCTATTTTTAACATCTGCTGCTGCACCCATCTGTAATAAGAAAACATCCTGTGGTTGTTAGCGTAGGTGATGCAAACTTTTAAGTCCGGGCAATTTAATTCTTAAACGTTTTATAATTCTTCAAACTATCAGTACACAAGAATAAAGCTTTAGCAAAGCCCACCTAACATCTTTTTCTGATGTCATTAGCCAGTGTTAACGAAACCATTATCAGGTCTCTTTAGAAAAGGTAATTAAAAGCACTCCTGGAAGTTTTCATGTGCTCGGTAAGAATTATGATGATTTCTCTGAGGGAGCCTCAGGGGGACTCTGGAACAGGATTTTGGTCCGGGAAAAGAAAAAAAAAAGCTAAAGCCCAGACACTGTTGTGTGTACGAAGCAAAATTTAATCCTCTGAATAACTTCAGTGGAGATACCGTGGCGCTCCTGTTGGAATACACACAGGAACAAGGCTGGACTAGCGCCGTATTTCCCTTCGGCCGCCCGGAAGCGTCTCCTCCCGCGGCACCCAGCGCGGCAGGCCCGCCTCCCGCTTCCTTCCAGCGGGCACCCCCTGAGG